CTCTTTATCACCTCCATAACTGAGAAATATTTCCTTAGTCCTCTAAGGATAATTTTGACCGTTGTCCAGTGGTCTACTCTTGGATCACTAATTTACCCCTTTGCCAAACTCATGGCAAAGTGCACAATAGGTCTGGTATACAGCATGGCATACTTTATAGAACCTATGGCTGATGCATAGGGAATGACTTTCATTCTCTCTCTATCTTCTGCCGTGGTCGGGTTTTGAGTCTTACTCAGCTTCATACCTTACAACTCAGGCAAGAACTCCTTCTTTGACTGATCCATTTTGAACTCCTTCAAAATCTTATCAAGGTATGTATTCATCGAAAGTTTTATCAAGCGTCTTGATATATCTTTATAGATCTTGATGCCCAATGTGACTAATGAGGTATTACTGAGTATCGGAGAGGTATCTCTAGGCCCTCTCAGAACACTTATGTATTAAAGCATAAGGTGATATATATATATAACTCATATAATACAAAATCATCATTGAACGTTAAGCGTGCGGACCCCATATACTAAATATATATTTGATGTTATTGAATTATTTTTTATTGCACCTTATGTATTGTTTATTTGATAAATTATTTATTAAATGGTCTGGTAGCATAATTTTCACTATGTCACGATTAGAATTTAGAGGGTTTCTTCCTATATACTACTCCCTTTGTCCCACAATATAAGAGCGTTGGGACGAAGGGAGTAATTTATAGAGTTTAGATACATGTTTTAAGTTTTCCTCCTTTACTAAAAAAAGTTTATATTACCTCCCTTATCTCATATAATCATATTTTAATTCTGTTCAATCATCAAAGTGTCTTTTTGGGGGAATCTTAGATATGGAGAAGTACAAAAAGGCTTAATATATACCTAATAATAAATGGGCTATTGCTTTTGGCGGTACGTTATCAAAATTGCTCCCCCAAAGTTGCAAATTATTACTCATCGATGCCACCTATAAGTGGTAAAAAATGTTTTACACAGGGAAATCCCACCTGGGCCGGCTCATATAGTAGGAATCTTCTATACTGCGCTCTGTGCGCTGGGAAAAGAAACATCGCGCATGTTTGAGCCGGGCCATAGAGTAGGAACCTTCTATACTACTCTCTGCGCACTCGGATAAGACACATTGTGCCTATTTGGGCCGGACCATGCCCGGGCAGCCTGTTCTTTATTTTTCGTTTTTCTTTTTCATCTTTGTTTTTTTCTACTTTAAAATAACTTGGGACTTCAAAAAAGTTCTGGAATAAAAATATGCAAATTTTGGAATAAAATATTTAATAATTCAAAAATGTTTGTGGATTCAAAAAATGTTCATTATTTTTAAAAAAATGCATATTAAAAAATGTTCACAATTTTGAAAAAAATGTTAGGGAAAAATCATGACTTTTTAAAAAGTTCGTGTATTAAAAAATGTTAATAAAATGGGAAAAAAATCGCCAATACAAAAAAATTACATGAATTGCAAATTATCCTAAAAATTTAAAAAAAATCGTGACTTACAAAATAGTTTATTGATTCATAGAATGTTTGCTGATTCAGAAAATGATCATGCATTCTAAAATGTTTGTTAAATCAAAAACGTGTTCGTGAATTTAAAAAATTGTTCGCCAATTTTGAAAACAGTCAATTCTAGAAATGTTCGCCGATTCAAGAAAATTGTTTAAAAAACTTCACAATTTAAAAAAATGTGTGCAAATACTATAAAATGTTCATGGATTGAAAAAATGTCCGATTATTTGTAAAAGTGTTCACGAATTTGAAAAAATATCGTGATTTCAAATATGTTCACGAGTTTAAAGAAATATTCATGATTTCGCAAAATTGAGAGTGATAGTGTATCTTGATGATGCAGCAAAATGTGGTCATGGCCATTGGATATTATGTTTTTTTTCTCCCGTTGCAACATACGGGCCCTTTTGCTAGTAGTAGTGCCAATAGAATGCAGAAAAAGAAACAAAAACAAAAACATGAGAAGCCAAACTAGCCAAATCTAATTGAAGATGCTCTGAGGCACCCCTCTCGGTGTCATTGACCTGCTTGAGGGTGTAATTGAAGAGCTCAGGGGATGAAGAAAGACAAGTTACTTCATACCCAGCTAGAAGGACTTGTGGAGTCAACTAGAGCCATATGGAACTTGAATAAGATTGACCATTGTTATTTTGAGATTACTTGAACAAGATATGTAACTTGAACAATATAGACCCATATGCCCTCTTAATGCGAGGTTCCAAATTTTCACCCAAGTGGCTATTAATAGGTTAAATTCGGTTGCTGATCATGTCATCTGGCCACCCGAAATGGCTTTCAAGCAAGGAAAGAATATACTCCATAGAGTAGTAATCCTACATGACCGCTTACGAGATGCATCGGAAAAACATTAAAAATGCCTATGACAAGGTCAAATAGTCGTTTCTTCAATAGTCGTTGAGCCTGAAAGGTTTTTCTGATAAGTGGCGCCCGTGCATCCAAAATTTTATAGCTAGAGGTAGTTGGTCATAAAAATCATTGATGATGTAGGCCATTACTTTCCCACAAAAAAAGGACTACAATAGTGTGACCCAATGTCCCTAATGCTATTTATTGTTGTTCACATGTTGGCTATTCTGATTGAACGTGCCAAGCACGACAGTTAGATTTTAGGAGTAGTGCCACACCTTATGGATGGTGACCTCTCTATTCTGCAATATGCTGATGATACATACTCTAACCAAAGACAACCTCACACATCATAGCTGGTCAGGAAGTAAGAAAAATGTAGTTTTTATACTCATGACAAGAACAATCAAACACTTCTTTTTCCAATGCAATCTTTCAGGTTCTATGTGGGCAATCATCCAAATGGCGTTAAATCTGTACCCGCCTACGAGTCTTGCCAATCTTTTTTTATTATTGGTTGGGCGATGTCTCAAGTAGGTTTAAAGCGCTAATAAAGGTGGGAGCATATGCCTTACTACAGTTAATTTGGCTAGTGGAAATGATTTGGTCTTTAATGAAAAAAATACTTATCCTTTGGAGGTTATTTTTCGTTGTACGCACTCGATTAGTACGTGGTCTACTCTATAATGAGCGGAGTACCAATCGTTGTTCAAGGCAATGTGTATGCGGTTGAAGCATGTGGCTAGAGAGGTTTTTTCCCAACATGTATTACAGCATAATCTCTGGATTGATCCACCACCTCCTTGGACATAGGCATGGTGTCGGTTTTATAGGTCTCTATTGTTATCGATATGTAGTATTTTTTTACTCTTTTTTATTAGACTCTTTGTGTTTGACTGTGTGCATTTTAACTATGCAGAAGCCAGATGTTGCCCATCGTGTTGTGTATCCACTTAATGCTACATTTTAAGATAATAAATACACCGTTTATTGAATTTTTTAATGCTCCGCGGGTTAGTTTTTTTTTTTTTTTTGAATTGTCCGCAGGTTAGAAGTTGAGAGAGAGTGAGAGAGTATTCAAATACTATGTAATTATGTGCAGAGTGTCAATCAAAACTATGGACCACACATATTTTCCGGCAACCTGAATATTTTATTGTCAGATCCTCACAATAAAATATAGGGAAAAGTATATTTTTCGTCCTCGAACTCTTCTAAAAATTTAGAAATCGTCCCTCAACTCTAAAACCATTATAACTCAGTCTCTTAACTATTCAAACCGAATATTTTTCGTCCCTCAAAACGTTTAAGGTGGTTTTCGTATGAAGTGGCCCTGCTTTGACTAAAATGGGCCAACGTGGCCTGGTTTTGGCCGTCGCTTCAGTTAGTATTTTGTCCAGTTACCTGGTTTACGTCCAGTTGAGACAAACATGTCAAAAATGCCAAAAACTGGACAAACTATTATGACCTAAGTGGACAAACAAGGGAAATGCTCTAAGCAAACCCAAATTTTCATATCACATAGGCCAAATTACAGAGCAGCAGTTTTAAAACACATCAGTACAACAAACATCATCACATTCCTTAGCGCGTAAATTCCTGCCGAGGGATTAACTGTCGGACATGCAGTACATCATACAGCAAACATCATCTGCTGGCCAGCCGAGGGATTAACTGTCGAACCCCCACCTGAGTCGCCGCCCCCGCCTGAATCGCCATTGCCACCGCCGTGCCAAGGTAGCAGCTGTCGTGCTTACCTAGCCCTGCCAGACCACGCCGTCACCGCCGCCGTAGTCACGCCTCATTGCCCGCCGCCGCAGCCCATGGCCAATCCCCATCGCTGCCGCCGTGCTTGGCCAGCAACTTCCGTGGCACAATTACCACCAGGCCACGCGGCTTGTTTTAGTCAAAACAGGGCACCAAAACGATCTTAAACGTTTTGAGGGACGAAACATACCTGGTTTGAATAGTTAAGGAACTGAATTTTAGTGATTTTGGAGTTGAGGGACGACTTCTAAACTTTCGGGAGAGTTCGAGGACGAAAAATATACTTATCCCTAAAATATATGGACTCTACAAAAATGATCTTCACAAGGTGGAGAAGTTTAGTGGCTCTATGGAATCCATGTACAATAGTTAGAAAATTACTATGGTTTTGTATCGTGACATCTTTCTGTACCCTTATGCAGTGCTAGTGCATTTGTGGACTTGAGTTAAGCTTTACGGGTCCTTTTGCTTTTCGAGGGGAAGCTTTACGAGGTCATTGAGTTAAATTGTAACCCTTTTTTGCGAGGAGTTAAATTGTAACCCTTGTTGAACTCGCTTGCTTCTCTGAAATCCATGAAAAGTTAACCTTCTTTTGGGTTAAAAATGTTCAAAAGGTGAGCTGTGACCAGTTATGAACCTGTACCTTATGGATGGATCTATTTATATAGTGTGCATAGATTAGTATATATCCAGTGTTAACTGCCATAGTGATTGAATCCTTTGCCATCTAGGAAAACTAATTCTCAGAAGGATCAAACTGATCGGAAGTACATTAAGCAAGTTATATTGAACATATAATTCACCTCATCAATTCTTTCAAGAACACTAAAACATGGGCTAATTAACGAGTTAACGAACACAACCACCCGGACCCCCATAGTGGAACATGCCATCACCAAAAGTGGTAGCACGATAGCAGTTTCTGTGTGTTTCAACAATATGGAGACCAGCAGGCCATGTAGGGGGGTCATAACCTCCACCACTTGTATCAACATACTGAATATTTCGAACTGTTGCTGATTCTCTTCCAGCCCATTTCCCATTGCCCATCGGAGGACTAGAACGTCCTTCGTAAGACGTGGTCATTCCACCCCATGCTATAACTGTGGCATGGCCTGACAGGGTGGTAAAAAGATCCTTTGGCCAATATCCCACCCTAGTAAGACCAATGTTATCATTTCCGTAGTACAACCACCAATCTCCATCGTCTCTACTCTGCAACACAAATGTAGAGTTTTTTTTATCAGAACAGTTGTATTACAGAGAGCAAAATATGTTAAAGTGCAATACCAAGTTTAAAACATTACAATAAAAAATAATCCATATGATTTAATTTGTCAAATCTTAGCTTTCTAATTCATAATGCAAGCTCTACCGAAAGGAACTCCCATGTTTTATCCAGCATGTTCAGTTTTTGTTAAAATATATTCTATCTTTATATCTTTATTCAGCTAGCAGCCATTTAAAACATATCCTCTTAGTTTAGAGGTGCCATATAATATTTTTATTGAGTTAGCCAGATGAGGCATTCATTTGAAATTACCAAGAAAGGACAGTCTAAACCGTGTATAGAAAAAAATGCAAGTAAACAATGACCGTAAAAAAATATACTAAATATTTATATAAATTCATTGTGCTAACTGTACTTGTCACAATGGCCCAAACAAATGAACAGTAGCACACACATTCCATGAATTTGAAGACAAAGAAATCCCTCATAAAAAGAAGCCAAATAAATTCCTCTTAGAAAAAGAAGCCGATTTTTTTTGGCAGCTCAAGTCTCCACCGGTGACATCATTTTCTCATCCTGTAGAGAGTTGCGCACATGTACAGAACCATTGAAGGTTGAGCTCTCAGCTTGCATGGAGGGCATCAACCTTGCCCTACAATGGGCGGAGATGCCGATAGAAGTAGAGACGGACTGCCTTGTCGCTCTTAACATGATTAATGGCCCGGGCAGGGACCGGTCTCGCTATACCATGTTGGTTGATCAAATTCAAAGGCTTTTGAGGGATGGAAGAATGTTCAAGCTATCTCATGTTGGTAGGGAACATAATGGTGCAAGCCATTATCTGGCCTCCTTTGGACGGACAGAAGGTCGCATTATGGTGTGGTTGGGTTCAGGACCAGGAGACGTCCCTGATATTTGTAAGAATGACTTTTGTCCTGATTGATGAAATAAAATCTTTCATTCACCCGCAAAAAAAAAGTTTGAAGTAGAAGCATTTTTCTATCAACACTAGTGCTACATAGGTAGAAAATGCTACCAGGAGCAAAGCCTTTCTACAACATGAGTACATTTTATTTGAACAGTGGGTTGTCTGAATCATACCTTATATATCTTGAGTGAGATTCTCGTTTGCCCATGTGGTAGCTCTAGGCTATCTCCCGGCGTAATAGGAGCCCCATTTACAGGCACAAAGCCTAGACAATTCAAGTTATAGCATCCGGTCTCATCCTCCCCATCAGCCTACCAGTAAATTTACAACATTATAGACATATTAAACACACACATTTAAGTAGACATGGAGCAGATTTAGCGCAGTACCGTCCAAAATACGAAAAAAATGTGTTTTGCTATCACCATAGATGTCTGGATTGACCTGTTACAGAAATTAGTTAATTTATTGCTGCTAATAGTGATCGCATATGTTAAAGTTGTGATAATATTATTCAGAACCTCCCATCCAGACATAATTTTGTTGACGTTGTCGCTTTCACCATTTCCTTTATTTATTACCCAGATTTGGGCTGAACTTGATTCACCCTTGACCAAGTTTGGAAAACCATAGACATCAAAAGTGGCCATAGCACCAGTATATTGGTTTCCAGCGGCTTGGTACGATTCATATGCTGCAAGCTGCATATAATCACTTTTAAGTTAGTTTAACCTAGGTGCATGCACATATATTGATAAATTTAACTTGTATATTTTGTGGGCCCAACCTTTATGAATAGGAATATAAAGTTGTAAGAAATTACGAATCCATGTATCCAAAACTATATCACAACAAAATAGAATTGACCAAAAAAAACTATTATGTACAACTTTATTACTATATGAAAAAGAGTTTTGCTTTGGTACATCCCCTTAAAAGTTTGCATGAATCTTAAGTTATTTAAAAAGGCTATCACCATATTACCTTGGAGATTAAACATATTGAATAGATTGATTTGGATAAAAAAGACTATATTATCCTCTTTTTTGTTGAAGTGATACCTTCTAATCTTCACCTTTAATCTGCATCGAAATCTGTAAACTTTTGTAGGGGTGTGTACCAAAGCAAAGTTCTATGAAAAATCCAAAAATCCTCAGAAGGGCTTAAACTAAAGCAACAGAATATGATATTAACTTTAAAGAAATCTTACAGATTTGACCAGAAATAGGGGCCATACATATGCCGCAAGTAAATGCTCGATACACGTTTGGTGCAAAAAGACCGATACGAGTCACTGTAGGATGCATCTATAGTATATAGTATAATCTTCTTGGTATGACATGCGTTATGTAAATCTGCATACCCATGGAGAAAATTTGTACAAGAAAAAATAAGAAAGAGAAATAGAAGCTTACATGCACAACTTGTCTCGGTCTTGGCCGGATTGACATCATTTCAGCATCTAGCAGCTGGGAGCTACTGTTCAAGGATGAAATTCCTCTATGTTGTAGTACCTTCCTAGGATATTCATCATAGCTTGGTGTTGTGGAGACATGATGCACAAAAACAACAAACATTAGTGGAAGAAAGGACACAAAATGTGTCATTTTTGGACAAAAAAGTACCGCCATGTTTGAGATAGAGTATACCACTAAAATAACAAGTAGGAATAAGAAAATGTTGTGCGTAGAGCGAACTTAAACACAAGGCAGATATGTGTACCTGCTTTGTTAGGAAAATAATAATTGAGTAATATTTGCCTATTTAATATGTAATATCTTCCAATAATGGAATAAATATATGGGGCTAAAATAATCATTACATATCTCTATCTCTACTTCTCTACTACCTAAAAAAAACGTACCACCCTTCCTCCATCCTTCTCTCGTACAAATCCCCACCCCACCACCGATTTTCTTTCCTTCCTCCATCGGTTTTCTTCCTGTTGGTTCCCTATTTGCCGATTTTATTCACATCTGGCTGGACGGACCCACTATATTTTTGGCAACCAAATAATTTATGTATGATAACCAATCTTTTGTTTGGTAATACAAACGTGATGAGTACATGTATGGTAATGAATATTCTCTTTGGTAATGCAATAAACTCAATAAAGGTCATCAATTTACTTTCTTCTTTCATCCAATCGGTAAACAAATCAGAAGGAAGCAATCGGATGCATGTATGGAAGATAATTTCGGAGACCGCGCGTGGCATGCAGGAAGAAATTATTGAGATCCGCGGAAAATAAGGAAAGAAATCTCTAGGCTGCTCTCACTCCCCATCAACGGCCCTGCACATGCACTCTCCATTTGGATTTTCTCAAAACGTGATTCATATATCTCTTTCTTATCCCTATGGCCGATCGTTGTGGGCATGTTTCATCTGTAGGCGCGAGCGACCGGACGGCAACCGGGACGGGCTCACCGGTGTACCGCACCTCAAGACCGTCCTTCTCAAGATGCTGCGCCACGGCCGCCCGCCATGTCCGTAGCACCCGCTGAGAGGTGAGCTCCTTGCATTCGCGTACGTGCATTAGCAACCGGCACATCAGCTTTCTAATTGCGCTTATGCGTGGTAACAAAGCAGAGAGATCACCAATAAAAAGGCGGCAGCAGCAGCTACTGCTGCAAGAGCAAGACAGGACAGCGAGAGCATGTGACTCCAATTAGAATTCAGATAATAACAATTCTGTGGTAGTGGACAGTGCTTATTTTCTCAGATCATGTTGATGTTGCACATGAGAAATTATAAAGGGGAAGCACAGATTCAGATTCAGGTGGTGAAACAGTTCAGAAGTACAAGCTCAAGACATTCAATGATTCAAGGCATGCACTAATCTTCAGATTTTCATACATTCCAGTATGTTGATATATGTTAACGTATAACTTGTATTTTGTGATCATATGCCATGGGCACTGCTGATGGGATTTCATCTCTAGAGACTCGATCGTCGTGGAAAAGCGAGGTGACATGGGTGGAAGCTGCACTACATAAGATCATGTTGTACTACTCTGTATTTAGTGTTAGAATAAATCTGAGGTACGCGGTCGATCCACCGAGGAACAAGCAATCACAGACAACGACGACACCGAGATTTGTTAACAAGGTTCGGCGAACTCGCCTACTCCCCAAAGCAATGACTATGGGCGCTCCTCCCCAAGATACCGCAACACCGGCCACCTGGGCGCCGGCACAAACCGCCGGCACCCTCTTGCGAGCCTGTCGCTATCTAGTCGTCATGGGTTACAACGTGGAGTGCCTCCTCATATATAAGAGGCCAAGGGTACAACGTGTCCGACTCCGATACTACAAGTATCCTACCCACACTACAACACTAAGTCCAAGCGTAACCCAACTAGTACAAAATATTCGACACAAACACAACAAACTCCACCTTGGCGAATATTCTCCACCACCTTGAATTTGTCCATGCGTCAAACTTCCATGTACTCCGGACTTGTGCTGTCTTCTTCGTAGCTTACTAAGAGCTACTCGACGAGTCTGCCCCAGACCCGCCGCCGCCGTGAGACCCCGCTGCTACTCCCGCAACTCCAGTCTCCGTGACTCCACCTGCAATTGTGCTCCCTTGCAACTTGTAAAGATGCGAAGCCGTCCTCTCCCCAATCATCACGGTCACCTCATCTTCTATGATTCTCATGGCCTTCTTATCCCGATCACAACGGAATACCATACCATCATCATGAAAAACACCAAGCGAAATTAGATTTCTCCTTAGCCCTGGCACATGCTTGACTCCCCGAAGCATCCGCTCAACTCCGTCAAACATCTTGATTTTGATGTCACCTACTCCAGCAACACGATAACCTGTGTCATCGCCCACATAGGCTAAACCAAACTCACCAGACTTGTACAAAAAGAACCACTCCCTGTTGGGTGTCGCATGAAAAGAGCAAGCTGAATCCAACATCCACGCTTCACCTTTGGTTGACCGCCTGTCTGATACTATGAGAACATCACTACCGTTGTCTGAGTCATCACCATGAGTTGCCTTATTAGCACTTGCCCCACCATTGAGTTCTGGACAGTCCTTTCCCATATGTCCCCACTGCTTACACTTGTGACACTGTATATTCTTTTTCTTTTTCTTGTTCTTCCCAGCCTCATATCCCTTCCGCCACTGCTCACCCTTGACTAGCAAACCTTCACCATGAGAGACTTCCACCGCGTTCTTCTTTCTCATATCATAAGATAGCAATGCCGCAGTAATATCCTCATTCTTGACGGTCTCCTTGCCGTGCGTCAAAGTAGTGATCAAGTGCTCATAGGATGATGGCAATGAACAAAGAAGCAGAATTGCCCTATCCTCGTCGTCAACCGTTGCACCCAAGCGTGCTAGATCCGTCACGACTTGATTAAAGGCGTTCATATACTCCACAAGAAGTATAGTCTATGATTCTCATGGCCTTCTTATCCCGATCACAACGGAATTCTCATCCATCACATGATAAATAACCTGGTCCGACAGACACAACCGTATAGTCCCGGCTGCTTTCAACTGTAACTCCTCTCAGTCATCCGCCTCCATCTTAGCTGGCTTGGCTTCCTTCAACAACGCCTTCAAGCATCCTTGTTGTGCCAACAAATCTTTCACCCTTGTCTGCCATAACCCAAAGCTTCCAGTTCCGTTGAACTTCTCCACCTCAAACCTGGTACCCGATGGCGCCATGGTTCTTTGTATGGCTGACCCTGCGAAAAAAATAACCGAGCAGTCTTCCCGTGATCCCCAAGTACAAGAACAAAACCTCTGTCTACTACTAGCAATCTAGCTAATTGGTCTTCACGTGAAGTGCTCCTGTCTTGGCCCAACTTCCCGGATGCTAGCGAACTTGCTTTGCCTAAGCCCTTGCTTTCCAATGGATGCAATCAGCGATGGCTTTTTCTTCCGCTGAATCTCGATCTACCTCTTTGCGTCCAGCCGCTGCTGCTTTTAACATGTGCGTGCATGGGTGCAGCTGTCCGGCTCGAAGACGACTTCTTCCAGGACTCGGTCCCTTTTGTTTCCAAAACAATCTCGGTAGCTTATGGCCTGCACGCAACGCGCTGGACTGCTACACGCCTGGCTCAAGCCCGTGCGCACGTCTTGGAGTCCCTGGGCCGCACGCGTGCGCCCGACTCGGTCGGCTCGGCTAGATTCACTGGCCTCACACGCGTCTATGCCTTGGACTTCCATCGTTGCACGGCTGCACGCCTTTCCTGTCCGAGCCGCTGCTGCTGCCTCCGCGTGATGCTTTCCGATCTCGGCGAGATCCCATCGAATAAGTCGAACCGTGGTATACGCAACGAGCTCAACAATGGCCTTCCTCTGGATCAACGCACAACAACCTCTTCGTAACCTTACTCATGATACCACTTGTTAGAATAAATCTGAGGTACGCGGTCGATCCACCGAGGAACAAGCAATCACAGACAACGACGACACCGAGATTTGTTAACGAGGTTCGGCGAACTCGCCTACTCCCCGGGGCAATGACTACGGGCGCTCCTCCCCGAGATACCGCAACACCGGCCACCTGGGCGCCGGCACAAGCCGCCGGCACCCCC